ACTTATATGTCCATTATCCTAAAATCAAGGAAAAACATCTCTTATTTGTAAGAACTTTTTCAATTCCATAAAATTGGAACAGTAAGGACATGATTTATATACAATTAGGGACCATCATCTGAAAATTTTATATACTGATTTGCGAAACTTGATTTTGAATTTTTTAAAATTATTTTTAGTATTTTTAGCATCATGTAAACAAATTATAATTTATTGTCTTTGTCTTGATCTATTACACAAGAAGAGGTTATGTATAGAGGATTTGCCTGTTAAAATTTCCGAAACTTATCGATTTATTCAATAAAATATATTTAAATCAATGGCTCTGGTTTGACATTAAATATAGAAAAGAGCTTTACGTAAGCATGGAGTGATCTGAAAGCTTCGCTTTATTAGAATGGTTTCTATTATTTGTATTATTTTTTTTCGTTTTGGGAAATCAACATGATAATACATTTGTTTCACTAAATCAATTACAGAGCCACTTTTGAAATTTTCTTCTCGATACTTTAGTATATATTTAGAATTTACACTGTATCATGACCGATTTTAAAATTTATGCGTATGTTTAAAATATATTTGAATGGAAAAAAAAAAAATTGTCATCTGCGATAAATCATTCATTTGTTCCTGAAACAACTGAAGTTATATGGATGTAAACAAGGTTTATTCCGTGATAAAGAAGCATGCAGATCCCTTTTCTTTGGATTCAGTACTTTGAACTTTAAAAAAAAACGGTATTTAATGGCTGCATCTTGCCTACATTGTACTTCGGCCCATCTGGCAAAGTCGATCACAGACGTTAATATTTAATCAATTTCGTGCACCAGGCATATAATTAGATTCCCATGGTAATCGGGTTTTAGGAAAGGCAAGTTTATGGGAACTAAGTTTGTTACTGAAGAAATAGGTCCACACGACATTCAGTACTATATTCTTTTAAATAATAGATAACTCGTAGCTTAACCAAATTAAGTTTTGTCACCCTTGTACAACAGAAGTGGCCTAAAAGTTTTGACTTTTGAATTCATTTCTATAAAAAAAAAAAAATCACAGGAAAAACATTAATATTGCCAAAAAATTTAATTTTAATTCAAGTTTATAAAAAAGTTTCAATTTGTCATTAAATAAAAAAAATTGATTGAAATCATTAATATTATATTCCTTGACAATGAAACAAAATAAAGACAAAAGTCTGTAGAACTTTGAACTTGAACGTGAAAAAAAATCAAAATAAAACCCTTTTTACCAGAACTGCTGAATATTCATTAAACATGAAAACATAAAAGAAGAAAGTAATTCAATGCACGCTATGCCTCTGTTTACCCGCTTACGGTTGTCAGACAAGAATAAACACAAAGGTGAATTCCGGCCCCCTGGGAATAATATTTATATAATTCACAGACCAGGAATCCCTCTACAGGTGATTAACAGTTCTCCTCCTGACTATATTATTTGATTTATTGATTGCTATTACGTGCAAGGTGTGATTTTTTTTTTATTGTTTAAAAAGATATTTCCATAATTTTCATCTGTTATGACAAATGAAACAACTAGACACATGAGGTAACAAAGCGAGATCTTGGAATCTAAACAATCTATTTCAGGTAAAGGAACGAGGCGGCGAAAGAAAAGATCAGAAAAGAGGAAAACTCGGCCAAATGGAAATTAATAATTGTGTTAAAAAATATTTTTGAATAAGGAATGAAAGATAGAGTTATATAATGCATAAGCATTGTGATATCATGGATTTCATGACTTCACAATTAGTCCTTAAATTAACAAGCAGTTTACTGTACGGACTTGTATGTTTTATACAGTTTCCAATAATTTTGCTAAATTTACGATTTAAGTAAACAAGCTTAAAAGTAAAAATAATATATGTTGAAAAACTCACTTTTCAAGAAAACATTCATTAGTTTTACACATGTACATGCATATTGAGATATGATTATTATGGTGGCATATTTCTGCTCCCTACATTCAAGATAAATTATGTTAATATGCAACATAATTATGTAGACATGCAACATATTTATGTCATTTATGTCAACATGCAAGTTATTTATGTTGACATGCAAGTTACCAATCTTTTAAGAAAATATAGATTAAACATGGGCAAATTTACTTACTAACGCCTGTATCTGACATTTTAGATGCAAGATGCAACATAATTATGTAGACATGCGACTTATTTATGTCAACATACAAGATAATTATGTTAACATGCGACTTTTTTATGTCAACATGCAAGATAATTATGTCAACATGCAAGTAAATTATGTTAACATGCAAGATACTTATGTTAACATGCGAGATAATTATGTAGACATGCAAGATATTTATGTTCACATGCAAGATAATTATGCTGACATGCAACTTATTTATGTCAACATGCGAGTTATATTTGTACATACAAGATATTTATGTCAACATGCAAGATAATAAGTTTCATATCATCTAACATATCTTGCATGTAAACATAACTATCTTGCATGTTGACAAAAACAAGTCGCATGTTGACATATTTATTTTGCATGCTGACATAAATAAGTTGCATGTTGACATAAATAAGTCGTATTGTGATATCATGGATTTCATGACTTCACAATTAGCCCTTAAATTAACAAGCAGTTTACTTTACGGACTTGTATGTTTTATACACTTTCCAATAATTTTGCTAAATTTACGATTTAAGTAAACAAGCTAAAAAGTAAAAATAATATATGTTGAAAAACTCACCTTTTCAAGAAAACATTCATTAGTTTTACACATGTACATGCGTATAGAGATATGATTATTATGGTGGCATATTTCTGCTCCCAGCATTCAAGATAAATTATGTTAATATGCAACATAATTATGTAGACATGCAACATATTTATGTCAACATGCAAGTTATTTTTGTTGACATGCAAGTTACCTATCTTTTAAGAAAATATAGATTAAACATGGGCAAATTTACTTACTAACGCCTGTATCTGACATTTTAGATGCAAGATGCAACATAATTATGTAGACATACGACTTATTTATGTCAACATGCAACTTATTTATGTCAGCATGCAAGATAATTATGTCAACATGCGACTTGTTTATGTCAACATGCAAGATAATTATGTTTACATGCAAGATATGTTAGATGATATGAAACTTATTATCTTGCATGTTGACATAAATATCTTGTATGTACAAATATAACTCGCATGTTGACATAAAAAAGTTGCATGTCAGCATAATCATCTTGCATGTGAACATAAATATCTTGCATGTCTACATAATTATCTCGCATGTTAACATAAGTATCTTGCATGTTAACATAATTTACTTGCATGTTGACATAATTATCTTGCATGTTGACATAAAAAAGTCGCATGTTAACATAATTATCTTGTATGTTGACATAAATAAGTCGCATGTCTACATAATTATGTTGCATCTTGCATCTAAAATGTCATATACAGGCGTTAGTAGGTAAATTTGCCCATGTTTAATCTATATTTTCTTATAAGATTGATAACTTGCATGTCAACATAATTAACTATCAACTTATGTTGATATAAATATGTTGCATGTCTACATAATTATTTTGCATGTTAACATAATTTATCTTGCATGTAGGAGGCAGATATATGCCACCATAGATTATGTATAACATGAGCGTGTTGATTATGTTATACACGGGTGAATTTTTTTTTCAAATATGACTACGACGGTGCAATATACTGCATAATAGATGATATTTTTGTGACATATGAATGCTGCATTGAGAACTACTGCATGATGCCCTTATAAGAATCTGAGTTTAATATTGTTAAAATCACGTAACGTAACGTAAGCCCGTATCTGACATCGTAGATGCAAGATGCAACATAATTGTGACCAGATGCGGTTTACTTATGTTAACATGCGAGATGATTATGTAGACATGCAAGATATTTATGTCACATGCAAGTTAATTATGTAGACATGCCTCTTACTTATGTGAACATGCAAGTAAATTATGTTAACAGGAAAGATACTTATGTCAACATGCGAGATAATTATGTAAAAATGCAAGATATTTATGTTCACATGCAAGATAATTATGTCGACATGGTACTTATTTATGTCAACATGCGACTTAGCTATGTCAAGGTGCGAGATATATGTTTACATACAAGATATTTATGTCAACATGCAAGATAATAAGTTGCATATCAACTTACATATCTTGCATGTTAACATAATTATCTTGCATGTAAACATAATTATCTTGCATGTTGACATAATTATCTTGCATGTTGACATAGATAAGTCGCATATCTACCAAATTATCTTGCATCTAAGATGTCAGATACAAGCGGTAGTAAGTAAATTTGCCCATATTTAAATTATATTTTCTTGTAGGATTGGTAACTTGCATGTGAACATAATTAACTTGCATGTTGACATAAATATGTTGCATTTCTACATAATTATGTTGCATATTAGCATAATTTATCTTGCATGTAGGGGTCAGAAATATGACGCCATAGTAGTCTTCACGTTTATCATAAATATTGTTGTTAAGTAACCTTTTTCGATTACTTGTGTAAAGTAGTCAAATATGAAATGATGTTTCAGATTTTGTGGAATCTTTTTTTGATTTCAAAGAGATATATCGAATCAATAGAAATAAAAATGAATGTTTTTAATGAATTAAGTATGTCAATATATATCCTCGTAATATTAAAATGATGAATTGAAGACCAAAACAAAAGACTTTTATACATGTAGAAGTTTTTGAGTAAATTAATGTTTCGTACGAATGAAAGTTTGAAAAGTCTGCTATTAACGGGGTAGAATTGGTACCAATGGGTAATTATCCAAAAGACTGTTGGAGTACTTGATATTGTCAATCAAACTTCATATATCTTTTTAATATTTACTTTGGAGTGCTGAAGTTCAGAGTTAATTAAGAATCAAATATCTCGGGTATGTGAGTAGAGACTAATTGTCAGTGGGTTTTTTTTTCGTAGACGGTATGGTACAAAGTGTGCTGGCTGTGAGAAGGGTATTCCCCCAACGGAAGTGGTACGCAGAGCGCAGGACAACGTCTATCATTTGGAATGTTTTTCTTGTTTGATGTGTAACCGGCAGTTAAACACAGGGGATGAGTTTTACTTGATGGAGGATCGGAAACTGGTCTGTAAAGCCGATTACGAGTCTGCTAAGGCCAGGGGAATCAATGGTAGGTGAAGTATATGAAATAAATGATTATTTGTTATGCTGACTTGAATGTTTATAGAATATTGACGTGTACACTATTTCGTTTGAAGAAAAGGCTGTGAAAGTTTCAATTTCTGAACTGACCTATGATATTACATAGATAATTGATATGATACTGAACCAATGATAATTAGTATGATACTGAACCAATGACAAAGTAGTGCCAGACATACTTGAATTATACAATAATGCAAAATTAAAAATTGTTCCAGTAGTAATATTCGAGTATTAAATGTATCACCTAGCAGAATCTGATTTTGCTAAACAAAAGACATCTCAAATACATATTAGGTCATAAAAAATGCTTAAGTCTTAAGAACATGCTTAAATTTGATATAAGTACATTACATATTAAGGTCCTAATTTCTTATTTTAAAATACCGGGGTAATAATCCCTTGGTCAACACAGTTCATTTGTTATGTCTACGTGTATGAGCCCTTTCTGTTCCTCAGATTCGGTATGCAAAACCATGTTATGAATACAACCAATTTTTAAAACAAGACAGGCTACTGACAATGAGTCGATGTTACAAATTAACAATAATCTCTTTTTGTAAGTCAGCATTTCGCCAAATGCATGTCTATTTAATGACCTGGTTTGGAAATATACCCCACCGCTGGGTCGTATTTTGACTAACATGTTTCATATCATTTGTAAAGTGACTACTTTTATACTCATTATGACTAAAAATTATTCCGTTTACTAAAAATAAAAGCTAAAGATAGTTATAACAATCAACAGGGGATGCTTTCATCTCCTGGCACGTGATCCCACCTCTTTTGTTTCCAGGGACCATTTATTTGCCCTGTTCACGATTTGCATTGTATACCGGATTGATATTGTTTACTTTTATCTTTTTTATTTTTTAAAAACAACTTAAAAATTAATAATAAAAACCTACCACACCCAGCAAAAATTGTCTATATAATGCATGTTTAGCAAACCAAAATCGCAATAATATTGCTTACGAATTGAAATAGTAGTCTTTGGTGTCTCGATTAAAATGATAGACATAATGGTAATACTAGTATTCGATACATGAAAACCAGTATTGCTGACTATATATATATTTTTTAAAAAATTTGAAGTTATAATTTCTACTGATTTTTGCTAATTCCATAAAATTACAAATGATTTATTTTTGTCTATTTCTTACTCTGAACGGCGTGTTTTTCTCTATCTTTAGACTTTTATTATTTATCTCCAGTCCCTTTCTGTCTAAGTGATGTGGAGTTGTACTTTAGTAATAATTTTAATATCAGAAAATACTGTGAAATATCTAATTTTGAAAAGGAGGGGGGGGGGTAATTTTCATTCATTTCGAGGAAAGAAGAGACCCAGGAAGAAGAAGAGACAGTTTTATCTTTATTGTGCCCTAAAAATTTAATGTTTTTTTTTTTAAATTGAAACTGGCTTGAATATTAGTTGAGTTTATGAATGTGATAGAACAGGAAAGAATATGGCATGAAGGATTGCCATTCTGGAAATCTGATGTCATTAATGTGATGATTCTCTATTTTAAACAGAAAAAAACCTTAAAATGACCCATTTCAAGGGTTATTTTTCCTTTAGAAAGTAGTGTCCACAGCCGTCGCCCACATTTTTGGATATGTGCAAAATTCAATGAAAAATCACATATCTCAAACTCTTTGTATGCGATGCCTGTGGACAATATTATCTGAAAGAAAATTCCATTGAAAATTGGTATTCTGCAATTTTTTAAGAAAATACGGGAAAATGCACATGTTTATGACGTCACAGTTAGCATTTAGAAACACATGTGAGAAAAATAATTTGTATGATTTTTCTGCATGGAATTTCCATGATTCAAAAATCACGAGTTTTCATTTTTTACATCAGTTTCGCTTTTGAGAAAATCACGGAGCAATATTTGTATGGAAACTGTACCTTGTTCTTTATGTCCACCATGAAATTTTATTTTTTACATATATTACTACTCAACAATTCTTTATCCACGAAATCAAATCCTCACGAATCCATATTTTTTCAAAGACCACGAAATTTTGTTCCCGCGAAAATATTTGATTTGATAGTTTTGATTATGCAAATATAAAGTATTTATCATTTTTCAGAAAATATTTAATGTTGATAAATATAATATTTATCAAAATATCTTATAATTTCACCAATTATGTTAAGGGGACGTTGCTTTCGCCGAGGAATGGACATTTTTTTTCTAATGCTGCTATACGCCGAGTCCCTGCTACATCTATTTTGACCGAATCAACTGCGTTCTTGTAAAATTACATATTTTCGTGAGGTCAAATTTTCGAGGTTTGAGGGAAAAAAATGGATTGTGGAAATTTGATTTCGTGGTTGCAAGATGTTTAGTAGTGATGCAATGAAATTTCTTGGTGGTCGTAAATTTGAAAGTCTCTCCATACCATGAAATCAAAGAAAATTATACCCGACGAAAATTAGTAATTTCACTACGGGGTAGCCCGTAGTGTCTGTAATCTGGTTGAATTCTCTTTTGCTGTTGAAATTCCTGCGGCAGTCTATCTACGTTAATTTCCTTCTAAGCAGTTGACAGTTTCTTTATATATGTGTCCTGAACTTACATACATACAGCATAGAAATCATATGACATTAAACATTGACGTAAGTTTAAAATTTGCATGATTTTTACCGAAAGTAGTGTATACTATGTCAATATTTTGAGCAAAAATCACCGAGCGCAGGTCTGCTCAAGCTCAATATTTTTATATAATGTGTAGAATATGATATCAATGAAATATGTAAATATTGTTCCTTAGCAGACCTGTGCTCTATAATTTTTATGATAAAAATTGAGCAAATTTTGTATATTTTTTCCTCTTTCTGAAAATTAATACAAAATTCGAATAGTTTGTAACGTCATAAAAACAGAAATTGTCAATAACCTACTTTGAAACTATAATATTTTTTGTTAATTTAGGTTTCTTTTGCAATATATACAATTTAGCACATTTCAAGAAATTTTCAAAATATGACTTTTCTGGGGGCAGAAATAAGTAATATATCGCATAAAGTTCTTTGTTTACAATGGTCAAAAGACAATATATTATTGATGTACCTTATTTTCTCTTTGGCCCGAAGCTTTGACTTTCAATGTGGCTTTTCCTGTCTTCTGAAACTTTCTCTCGTAATGAATTTTAAATGAATTTATAACAGTTTATATGTCCACTTTTCATCACATAGTTCAATCGTGAAAAGCTGAAAAACAAAGGCTACTCGAGACACTGCATTAAGAATGAATGGTAAAGAATCAGTAAACTTGAGTGAAATTGAACGCTTCATTAAAGCTGCTGTAATACTTGTCAAGAATCCCAAAGAAATAATCACCAAAATATGTGAAATTTACAGCAACCAATGTCTGTGTTATGGACACATGAGCAGGTGGATTTCAATGAACAAAAATTATGTAATGGGCATCAAAAATAGGTACCGTCCATGGCGACAAGGACTTACAACAATCAATATACTGTTTGCCCAAATTCAACGAATTATCATATATTATGTTTGATTGACTATAAGACACATAGAAAATTTTATAGGCATCATTTTGGGGGTAGTTCACACTGTTTTAAAGAAACATTTGACTGTATAAAAGCTTAGTACTTAATGGCCACCCTATGTTTTTGAAAAATAAGTTAAAAAGACAGTGTGTAATAATATATAAACAATTATTTTTACAAATCAGAAATTGTAATTATCCACGTTTTTCTGCAATTCAAACAGAATGAAACTTGAATCCATTGCTATAAACCCTCAAAACAAATTTACAATAAGATACACTTTACGAAAACAATAAAGGTTTGAAAAGAGCAAAGAATTGCAGGGGTACAAAGACAATTTTATATGCCATTTTCTTAAATAGTAGAAGTCTTGTTGTTCAAATTCTTATTCGGGGAGGCAGTTTCATTTTTGGAGGGGTCTAGAAAGCAAAGCCAAAAAAGCGAAAGGTTTAGGAGAGGAAGGAGCCAGAATCAGGAATCCACTATATTCAATGTCTTCATGACAGCATCCAAACCCACACGCCCTGAAGAGTAAAGTGGTTTTGGGGATAAACAGAAAGTTAATATACGCCAGATCTTTCACCCTTTGACTTGTTTCATTTTCCAAACTTAAAAAAACACCTTTCAGAAATAAAAAAAAAAATACGTCCAGGAAATCATAAGTTCTACCATATTCCAGTATACGAAGGGCAATACTCAAAAATGTGTTCTAAAACAAAATAGAAATTAAATAAAAATGCTACGGACATGTGTTTTTAAAAAAGAGAATATTTAAGTGAAATCATCAAGACTAAATCGTTGAAAAGCGTTTTTTTTCTTTCCAAGCACCGAGGACATTATTTATTGAACAACCCTCGTATATCTATGCCACTTTTTGTTTCTGACATAAATGTTCTCAGATAAAAAAATAAATGTTTAAAAAAAAATCAAAGTTAACCTAAAATCATTCATTTACGACTTTTATTTACCAGTATTTTTAAAACAATCTTTCATCAGAAATTCGTTATCAGTACATAAAGTACTGATAAACAAACTAGTAAAAATTTGTATAATAGTTTGACTTATCGAAGAACTAATTTTCTAAATGTTACTTCATACTTTAGTTTGACTTGGGCCGGCCTAGGACTGCGCTTAAGTAAGTTTTCTTCTGATGACCTAAGTTAAAATGTAACGGGGCCCAGCTGTTCTATACTAAGAAAACTGGAAGGAAATTTTGATGAACGACTGTTCTTTACATTAAACAACGAATGAAAACTTAGGAGTCATAAGATTTATGTATTGCATAACAAGAAAAATGTTGAATAAACAAAAGAGGCATGAGACAAGAAAACATCTCACTTCAGGAAAAAAAAGGCATATTTTGTAGGCGATGAATTGCACGCTTTATCAGCTGGTTTCAGGTAAGAACAAGGATTCTAACGTTCCGCAGTTATGATCGGTGTTATCTCGGCTCGCGCACCTGCGTGCCTGTCGCAGAAATCGATAGTTCCCCCAGAGACGTGATTGGGGATTGATTTGGGTTATTTGATCGTGGTTGGAGTACGGTAAAGCTTATCGTTTCACTTCATCATGCCCATCTTTCTCATTGACTTTACAATGTGATCCAAAGAGAATCCATTTTATTATATTATGTTCTCTCCAGTTTCGTCTCAGTAGAAACTAAGTTATATTTTTATGCCAAATAAAAAAATCTCCTGAATGTATTCTCTTGATTTCTTATGAAGCAAGGACCTACATAGGTAGCTGGATGAAGATGATTATCAAAAGCAAGAAACACAATTTCTTCTAAGCCAGTTTGTTCCGTTAAAAAAAAGGAACTTTGTGGAAACCTTCTAGACGTGTCAAAGGTCACATGTTTTCATGGTTCTTTCATTGTAAGGAATCAATTATATAATGTTTTATTTACTTAATTCCACCCCTGACAGAAAAACCGCTAAATATAAAGAATAAAAATGTCTATCTCCTGAATACGGGGATAAAAAAAATAACTGAATATCATTATTGTTTTGCAATTTTGCAGCCTTTTTCAGTAGTTTCTCATTATGAACAACGAAGTATTTACTACCCAAAGAGATTTTTTCGTTGCTTTCTTTTTGGTTTCTGATCGCCATTACGGAGATATTTATTTATTACAGAATACGACATAGATGCCGCTAACAAGCGGCCAAGAACAACTATAACAGCAAAACAGCTAGAGGCCCTAAAAAGAGCCTACAACGAAAGCCCTAAACCTGCACGTCACGTGAGAGAACAGCTGAGTGCAGAAACAGGATTGGACATGCGTGTTGTGCAGGTCTGGTTTCAAAATCGCCGCGCTAAAGAGAAGCGACTCAAGAAAGACGCAGGTAGAAACAGATGGAGTCCTTACTTTAGACAGTTAAAACGCAATGGTGACCAAGATAGTTCGAATAGTGCAGACGACAGATCAGACATTTGTCTTGACGATGGTAGGTCTTTTCTTAAAGATGGAAAAAGAGCGGAGGAATGGTATTTTCCCTTTCATTAGTGATTTAAAGATTTTAAAAAATTTAAAATTTAAAGAATTCTCGCGAGCTTAAGTAAAATTAAAGAAATTTAAGTATATTTGATATATTTCTCTGTTAAAGGTTTAAGAAAAGTAAAATTCTCAGCGCTTTGATTATTATTTATTTGACTTTTGACATCTGTTTTTATTTAGATGATATGGATGATTTGGATGAATCAATCAGCCAGTCGGGAAGACTGTCCGGGGATATATTTAGTTCGGGCTCGGGACAACCTATGGACAGGGAACCAAACATGGGAAATGTGCCGGTTGTCCCCCCAGAATCGCCATCAATGGAATCTTGGTCCCATTTTGGAAACGTTCCAAATAGCCAGAATTTTCTCGGTCGTCATTCTCCCAATATCTCCATGTCAAATTCACATTTACTCCCCATGGACCCCTTGCCCATGATGGGTGGTCCGTCCAGTGTAGCTAGACTGATGGGAGGCGATTTAAACGATAATTCACAAGGATATTCCGAGTACTCGTCAAATTCAAATCATAATCACGTAGAAGCTTATTGAAACCATATGGAAAGGCAATCTCTTACCAGAGAGCGTGCTCCTCTTACACCTCTGTTGTCGTCTAAAAAGTAGTTCGGATTGTAAAATATTTAAATGGCAGCAAAAATTGTAAAAACATTGATTGTTTTGTGTGTTTTGCCAATGGTGTTACGTGTTTAGGCTCTTTGGTAGTAAATATTTTCTAACGTTGTCTCCTTGATTTCAAAATGAAAATGTGTGTAAAAATTCAAAACAAAATAGTGCCGTATATATTGAAGCTATTTTAATATAAATCCAAATTTTGAAAGAACGAAAGAAGAGCAACAGATTGATTTTTTCTAATTTCATTTTTAAAAATTACCAAATTGGTGGGAATCTATTTTTTATTTTTGTTTTACAAGATTCTTGTAATTTAGACGGTAACAGAGGTGTTGGAGCGGAGCGTAAAAACGCCCCCTGGTGAGAGATTGATGTAAAGGATGATAAGAATATTTTCATCAGCTTCAATGTGACTTTTTAAATTACATTCCCATGTACAAATTTTTTTAAAGTCGTGATTAATAGCTTTTGCAATGGTGTGTAATGACAAGAGAAAATATTATATTATTTCTATATTTATACACAACACTTATTTGTCGCGAAACAGACTCAAGGATTAAAACTTTTATTATTAAAGTACAGATTGTTTCAATGGCTTTCATGTATTTTAGATATAGCGCAGGTCCCGTTTGTATTTCTAGTCTTATTGTCCCCCTTGGTGTGTGCAATATTTATTTTGAATTTTATGGAGGAATATGCTTTGTTATTTATTGTGATTTTTTTCTCTTTCAATATTTATTTAAAACTTTTATTGTTATTTTAATTCACTTTTAGAGAACATAAATTAATTCACTGCTCACCTTTCATCAAATATCTACATTTACGATATATGATTCCTGCTTGAGCTATGAATTTATAAGTAATATTTTACATTTTTATGTCTTCTAAAAGATAATTTTATTTATTTCTTCTTACTGTATAATTTAATTATTAAATACCTGATAATCAATAAGGACGCAGCGTATTAAAGATAATTAAACGTAAATCTGCAAATTAATTCCGTTTACAATACTTCGTATATCATATTTTAATTTTACTTCTTAAGACAAAAAACGGCTTTTCTTTAAAAAATATATTATCAGCGTTCTTTTTATTAATTTTGAAATCAATACAAGATGCTTTTTGTTTTAAAAAATTGTGAAATAATTATTGTAATCCTCTCTGATTAAAGAGTTACTCTGTTAAGGCCTTATAATACTGGAACGACTTATAATACTCTTGACTCCGATATTCTTTTATGACCAAATACTCATACATTCCCCAAAACATGGATTTTATACATTCCAAGAAAGTTTGATTTAAAAGATATTTTTGACACGAAGAAATTTTAAATATCGGTATGATTACAGAATATTTTATCGAGCCTTGAATATTTATTGTTGTTATGATTTAGTATGGTAATACTTATTTCTATGTTTTCTTTGTTTTTTTGTGATATTTTTTTTCATATTGTGTTAAATAAAATTTTCATCAATATTTATTTGTTTGATCTATTAAGAATTATCTATATTCAGTTTACAAAGTTTTTGAGTCAAGGAAGTATATAGTATTGACATAAAAATATTAAAAAATGTCGTAAAGGAGAAACCATCCTTTCTTAATTAATTTTAGTTTAAGGACTGATGATATGTTCCTCAATAATATATGATTTTTTCCAAGATTTTGTCATTGAAGTATTGCTAATAAATATGTTTACTCAAAAAATACTGAGGAACCTTTCCAGGCATTTGTGCAAAATAGCATAGGGTTGTGTTTCTTATATAATCCTTTTGGGTAAAAAACTCAATTTCCAAAATTTGATCTTTTAGAATTTTGATTTTTTTTATTAATGAAAATGGTTTAGAAATCAAAATGTAATTAAAATTTAGAATATTTTTCATATATTTCAAGAATATATTAAATTAAAGTTGATCATTCTGTATTATTCTTAATTTTAACTCAGTGGCATAAAAAAATAATTAATTTTATTTTAAGGACAGATGATACGTTCCTCAATAATATATGATTTTTTCCTATATTTTGTCATTGAAGTATTACTACTTAAATATGTTTACTCAAAAAAGACTGAGGTACCTTACCAGGCATTTGTGCAAGATAGCATAGGGTTGTGTTTCTTATATAATCCTTTTGGGAAAAAACTCAATTTCCAAAATTTGATTTTTTAGAGTTTCAATTTTTTAATAATGAAAATGGTTTAGAAATCAATATGTAATTAATATTTAGAATATTTTTCATATATTTTAAGATGAGACAAAACAAATATTGTCTGACCTTAATGGTTTTTCGACGTAGAGAACTGGATTAAACTGGTGTATGGAAAGGTGTCACGTGGTCATATAAGATTCATTTAATGATAAATATTCTAGAAATATCAGTTTATCAATTTATCGGTCTGTTGTGGACTAAAGAACCAAAATCAGGCTTTTTTTCTACAATAAAAAGGGAATGAAATATTTATTCCTGAGATCTTGCAGTCCTTGCAGTCCTTTTCAATTTAATGTGAATTACATGTAAAGGTTATGCTCCGCAGAATACATGTATATATTTGATATATATATTAAATAACTATAGATTCTGAATGTTTCATATTTTTCCTAATACAAAAAATAACCAGTTATGTTATCCGAATTTTCTTTACTACAATTAAATAATTTACTGAGTTATTAATGTTACCAAAAAATAAAAACAAAATATGACATGTATTCAATTCCTCATATTTCTTTAAAATAAAATTAAATCTTTTCATATATTTTTCAAGTGCTTAAAAGGCTTACACCTTTATTGCAATTTTTGCTTACATTTTTATTTTTTTTTTTTTTATTTTTCTTTTTTTTTTTTTTTTTTGAAAAAAGCTTTAATGAATGGAATTCATTTGAAAAATCGTAGAATTCAGTTACAAAAACATTCCCTACAACATTACTTCAAACGCTTATACAAGTGTTTATAAAGATGGAGTTTGAATGCTTACGTTCAATTTCACTCTGCACGTATCACTGAGAACGGACGGACAATACTTTTGAGTTGGTTTTGATTTCTAACATTTCTACGCAGAATTCCCTTGATTATAGTTTAAATATCGTTCACTGAACAACAAAATTTCCATTTTTTCTTTGTGTAAGTAAAGGGGTGTGTGTTAATCAGATGTGTCAGGAAATACGTAGTTTTAATAATTTTTTAAATCCTGCTATTATAATATTTTAATAGTTTTAAATGCTCTAGCAAAATATTATAGTTTTTATATTTCTTTGATAAATCAACATGAATATAAAAATATGATGCAATTTCGAAAAACAAAACCAACAACCGCACTTTGATAAATTGCTTATGACAAATATTGAAAATTATATCAACATTGTAAGTTTTAGAGTACATTATTTTCATTATGTAAATCAAATATGCGAGTACCATAAGAGAGGACAGAGGCATATTTATGAATTTGTGACTGTAATGAAAAATTGGCAGCTTTTATTATTTTAAATATTAATGTATAAGTAAATTTTCTGCTTGAACTTAAAGTAAAATTTAAAAAAAATATACAATTTGCAAAACATGCCAGATAACATAATATCTTATGGAAAAGGTTAAAAATGACTATCTTAACTTTAAACATTAATAAACAAGGCAGCATAAATGAAATAAGAACTTTTTTTATTTCTCCCAAAAACAAGAAAACAAACAAGAATTTTTCCTGAAGACTACTCTTTTAACAATAAACATTTTCTTAAGCATACAAATATGATTTAACAGTCACTAATTTACGAAGATCATTTTAATTAATGTAAACATATTGAACTGATACAAAATCAACTAATCTTCTAAACTCAGTAATAAAATGAATTTAAATAAAAACAATGTAATCGCAAAAATTTACATTTTTTTTTAATACACCGTTCTGCTTATTTTTTTAATTATATTTAACAGCTTAAAATTAATCGAATCTTCAGCAAAATATCTATCGTTAATGAATGATATTAACAGATATTATTAAATTAAAAAATTCTAGAAATACATATACATGTATACACAAAACTGAACAAAGTCTCTTTATCCTCACTACCCCTCAAATTTATAAATATAAAATGCAATATATTTCAACATGTGTGAACATTTTAAGTTTAGTATATATAAAATAAACTGGTAATCCGGTATCCTTTTCTTCACATATAGTTCCTCATCCTTTATTTTAATTTTAATAGTACATGTAAAAAATAGCTCACTTCCTCTTTCTGTCTTAAAGAAATTTCTTCCTTCCGCCACACTCTGAAGTCAATAACAAAATTATTATTCAATGAATATTGTCTTGGGGCTGTTGCAATTAGAGTGGTTATGGGGAAAAGTGTGATCACTTAATAAATATAAAATGAGAAATTAATAGATAATACACGGACTTAAAAGTTAAAATAAGACACCTATTTTAATGAAAACTTTTAAGATCATTGCACACACGAGCAAGACTTTGGTTAGCATGTATGGAGTTATCGTTAAACTAACAGAATATTGGCTTGGAGACAAATGGAAAGTGAAATTCGCTAAATGGCCAGGATTGCTTGAGGCAATTGAGACCAGAATTTCCATTCCACTCAACGCCGATCGCTTTCTGTCACAGACGACGTTTCTCCTAGCGAAAGATACAACATTATGACATGACTTGATATAAATATATTGATGACATGTATCGAGGGAAATTAACAAATTGACGGCAGGGGCGCATCAAAGCTCCGATCTATTGGTAACGGCGCTTCTCGCGACACTGGGAGCTGTAACGGCGAGCTCCCGGATTATTGCCGGAGATTCCACAGATAGGAGCAAATCTAGGTCTTCTTTCATGCCCACTATTACTCATTACAGCGCAGTATTACATGAATACTTTTACAGTTTTATATTTTTCCTTTTTAAATCAAGTTTATTTGAGGTTAAATGGTTCACAATAATGAGACATAATGGGGACTATCTAATTCTCTCTCTATATAACAATATCTCTCTGACGTGTGTGTGTGTGTGTGAGTGTGTGTGTGAGAGGGTGTGTGTGTGTGTGTGTGTGTGTGTTTAGCCATGAATATCACTCTGAATGATCTCGTTTTGACATAAGTACAAGTGATCAAACATTCTCATTAAATGCAGTTTTATCTTTCTAGTAATGTATGTTAAGAAAAAATATATATATATAAAATAAAATCCAATAAAATTAAAATGACTTCCAACTGTCAAATTACACCAAAATCCGAGGAGAAATGACCACAGTTATACACTTTTACAAAACATTCGCTAGCCAAGGCTTAATGAGGAGAGAAACGGATAAGAAACCCTTCGTCCATCAAAGATGTTCCGTACACTGTCTTATAAAAGATTTTTTAAAAATCGAAAAAAAAGAATACACAGGAAGGATAAAGCTTTTCACTGAATTCAAGCATTGAATTTATAGATTTTAAAGTTCTAAAAAATAATGAGAAAATTCGTTGTTTGATAATACAATCATGAATGAATATTTAATACTATGAAAATTATATTTGAATCATGAGGCAGAAAAAAAAATTATGTAAACAAATAAATGAAATAAATAGTTTCACTTTTGCTTTCTTTTATTTTTCTTGAATTAAAATTTTGAAACAATTTCTTCTAACTATTGACATTTTTATCATTTTTCAAAAAAAAAAAAAAAAAATTGCTCAATAAAAAGGTATTTAATACAAAATTTCCTAATGCCTCTTTGTGAAATAAAAAAAAAATGAAAAAAAAAATAATAAATAAATGTATTGCTTCCTTTTAAGTATTTTATTACTTGTATATTGAAAACTGTATTAAGCATATTTATTGTTAGGAAATGTTAAGATGTTTAAAAAACAGGCAGTATTTACGCCAGGATAGGACCGATAGAAAAAATTAGAAAATCTTGGTTTCATATTTAACAGGATGAAAGAAATACATATATCCAATCCTCTTTTTGTGTAAAAAAAAGTAAAGCTAATATCTCATTTATATACCCATGTGACTTAACATTTCTTATTACTTACGTGTAGTATTAATCATCTAGTTGGATGGGGTTGGTAACAACTTTTATGCTAAAGAAAACTATGGATTGAAGAAATGGTACGTTGGTGTGGGGTATATTCATTTCTGGATA